ATTTCAAGAATCGCCAATTCCACCACCACCACCACCACCAAGTATTATTATTCTCCCTGGCGGTTGTAAAGAAAAAGAAAGGGAGAGGGGTTTCTTTAACGAATAAACCCATGAAAAACTAATATCCATAGTTGGCGATCGGATCGTCGTGGAGGAGGGTAGAAAGGAGGACACAGGGTGGTGGGAGGTGGAGCGTTTCGGGGACCTATAAAGGCGTGTTTTACGAGGGCAGATAATGCGATGAAAGATGCGAACGACGTCCAGTCATGCCTAAAGAGTGTGTGTAACCGGACCTTCCGCCCTTCTTCTTTCACGGTTCCGTCTAACCCCCGCGGTTTCGCGGCCTTTCAACCGAGGGTTGAAAGAAGGGGAGGGCTCGCTCCTACGCCCATAATATATCAATTTCGTATTCTAATGTCCAGCCGGTTAATTCAAAAAGCGTCGACGCTGCGGAAACGGTGAAACGGTGTGGTCGTCTTGCTCGCGCTCTTTCCGCATTAGGGTGGAGGCCGTGCTTCCCTCTCTATCCTACGTAATAGAGGAGGCAAGAGGGGCGGGCAGGGAATAGTTCTGATTCTCATTCGCAGCCTCGTCGTCACGTATACGCGCCGCTTATACGTCTCGCCATCAGCTCGCTCGCTCGCTCGTGTCGTAGATAATTGGGGGAGCGGCTGTTTGCGGTCCCGCGGGGATGCTCTCACCCCCTGAAAACCGAATGACGTACAATCTGCCAAGGATTTCGGCAAATCGTCCTCACGAAATTGCGCGAGGAAACAAACGGGGAACGGACAGGAAATGGCTATATTTTTCGGGATTGTTCGTCAACCAACTGGTTGTTGGTCGACCGTATATTTCGATCGTTGTTCCAACGTTGGGGTTCCCGTAATGCTCGTTAATTATTTGCTCGGTCAAATTTCAAGGAAGGAACAAATTGATATAAGACTGGCGAATCGCGCTGATGGTTTTTTGACATTAGGAGAGAAAGAAGGAAGAAAAAGAAAGAAAGAAACGATGAGTAATCTGTAGTAAAATCCGACGGCGGAGTCGAGTGACGTAAACTGCGTCGTGGATAGCCGCTTTATAGTCTCGTAATTTTCATCGTAACCGCGGCGGAACGATGCCTCCGCGTTGTTGCCCCCTCTGACCGATCCTTGCGGACGAGAGAAAGAGACGGCAGACGAGATGGGCTGGAACCCCGGCCGAGAGCATTGGGCAAGGGGATCGAGGGATGAGGGAAAAGGACGAAAGAGTCCTTGGAGTGGCGCGAACTATTAAAAAGCGCGCGTCCGCTCGAATTCTCGCCGGTAGTAAATTACCCGAAAAAAGAAATAACCGTTGAATTCGACCACTCTCCGCCTCTGTCACCGTGCCGCTCTGTTTTACCCAAACCCCCTCCCCTCCCTCCCTCCCTCCCTCCTCCCCCCTCCTTTCTCCAAAGGCCTCCTCGCTCTCCTCCTTCTCCCCTCGCGGCAGCTCTCCCGCTACTCCGGTTGGTCCAAGTGTGGTGGCTCGCTCGAGAGATCGTCGATCTCTCTCTTTTCCAGGGTAAAAACCCTCTCGACGAGGAGCGAGCCGCGGTCTCAGATAAAAAATTAGCCGGAGTTGCAAACGTTTCCACCTTAAATCATATATTTATCGCGACATTAATTCAACCCTTTTAGGTACCCTTTTTTCCTGGCGGCCACTCCGCACCCGGGACCGAAACGCCTCCGACTCATCCCGTCTCCACCTTCTCCCCCCCCCCCCCCTTCGCGAGGGAGGACCCCACCACTCTTTTTCCACTCGGTTCCGTCCTCGGTCGCCCTCTCCTTCCTCTCCTTGCCCGGGACTCCTGCGGCGAACGACGTCCCGTTAGTCCTCTCACGCTAATTTCTCAGATTCGAGTATTTTTATGTACCGTCGCGCGAACCTGACGGGGGTAAATCCTCTCGTTTATTATTTAGAAGAGGGAGGGATGCGCGTGTAGAATGGGACGGTCAAGAGAGGGCCTGTCCGGCGGCACACAGACGAAGGCGTTTATACCTTGTCCTCCTCCTCTTTTTGATGGGGATATACGATCTCGTTATCTCTTCTTGCTTCTTACTCCCTGCGATTATCCTTCTTTACGGTCGGTTTGCTCGATCGTGCAGTGGCGCCGAGTACACTCGCACGAGCCTCTTTTACGTGCGTTCTTCCGAACGAAGGATCGTCGTGCAGGTTCGTCGTATCATCCGATCCGCGTTTAAGTTCGATTAGTAAGATTTTCCTTTTCCTTCTTTATTCTTTATCCTTTTCAGCTTATTTTCAGGTTTATAATATATACGCCTCCTTTCTCTCTGTTCGAAGGATCGTTTCTCGTTTTTCGTTCGTCTCTTCCGATTTCGCATCGGATGTGAATCCGTATGTATCCGTACGCGACTTTTTCGTCTTTTTGTTTTTACGCTACGAGAAGATATAAGGATGGAATACGTTTGAAAATTTATATAGAACCGTTTTATATCGTGCAAAGTACGAGGTTCTACGCTCGGCGCAGCATGACGTAATCAAACGCCATCGAATCTACGAGAACGCATTACTCACAATGAAATAGGAAACGAGACGTATGTACATTAGAACCCCGGCGCAACGGTTGTTTACTTAATAAATACATATTTAGTATATGCCACGTACACAAGCCTCGGCAGGCCGGCTGCGCCTATTTTTGCTCTCAGTTTTGTTGTCATAGGACCCGGGCGATGGGTTGCGGCCACCCCTCGCTCTACTACCATTCGGGTTTCGAAGTACTAGATCCTACTTAGTCTCTTTCGACAATGGGAATTTCGGTTTAAAGGTGGAGGAGAATCTGTCTCGAGCGGTTCTTCGGTGCGCGATAAAATTAGTATCGTTTCTTTAAAACGTCCGCTAATGAAATTTCTCCTCGTCATCTTTTTGCTCGAGGCGCACGGGGAAGGGATGGGATTCTTGGAAAACGTAGTCGTATAATTCTTTCAATCGCTTATTCTTCGTTTATTCCTCCTCCTCCTCTCTCTCTCTCTCTTTCCCTCTTCTTTTTTTTTCTTCTTTCTTATTTTTTCTCTATCACATTTACAACACGAGAATGGAGGTAATTCCTGGCGTATCAGCGGAAAATTTTGAAAGCATAGCTGTACGGCGGTACCAATTGTCGCGCGTTTGAAATACGAGTGAAAGGAATATTTTAAGGACACGCCGTTTCGAGGAATATTTCGTCCCCCATTTCCGGTTCGCCTATACAAACTTGAGCCGGTGGTTCAGGTTGCGTCAGACAACACGTGTACACACGTATTTACGGGACGATGTGTGCGGCCACCTCCTCCGTGTCCGTGTATAACCAGTCAAGAGCGGAATATTCATAATTTATTAGTAAGCCCGTGAATCGAACGCGGCCGAGAGAGTCACAGAGAGTCGAACTTATATTCCACTTATCCGTGACAAATATCCCGCTCGTTAGATCCGCACCGCTAACGAATCATTCTCTCAACGTGTTCGTTCCAATTTCCTTTGCTTAAGCTTCAATTTCTTAAGCTTCTAATTGTATCGACGAAATCTTCGATTCTTTGCTCGAATGGGAGGGGACATCGATCGATGTCCCCGTGTCCGAATATCCTCGATTAATCCTTGGAACCTCCGGTTAGATTAAAATCAAAAAAAAAAAAAATCGATGATTATCGATCGGATAATAAAAATCTCCTCGTCACACCAGGACTATATCGGAACAAGTCACAAAATCTTCGGGACGGATCCTCGTTTCCTCTCGAAATTCGGAAAACTCGAAAAATTGGCTGGCGATAGCGATTACCGGCGCGAAAATCGGAGAACTCGTTGGTTGGTTATCGGAAACGGCCGGCAACGAAGTCGGTCGACCAAGTCACCGCGCTTGTCACGAAGTTAGGCGTCGCGAACAGCCGCTTGCCAAACAACCGTGCGACGATGCGTAATGTTCGAGCACAGACGAGCATATGGGACGAGAGAAGAGCATAAGGCAAAAGAGAGAGAACAGGCCAGGCCAAGCTAAAGCCGAGGCAGCCAGTCAGCCACACAGCAACGGTATACAACGTGCCTCGTATATGATGTACTGGTTTGCCTGGCGGCGGTGGGGTCAGGGACGTGACGAAGGGTGGGTGTTACGGTGGAGCGAGAGGGGCAAAGTCTTCAGACACGAGTGTGGGGTAGGGGAGGAGGACAGAGAGGCCGCGATAAGTGGGGAGGGGGAGATGCCGACAGAGAAGGTAGGGCACACACAAGAGTAGAAGACTGTTTGGCAGGGAGGGGAGAGAAGGGAGAGCTGAAAGCAGGCCTGTTGGTTGGTTTCAACTATATTTGTTTATATTTACACAATAAGCAACAGCCTCGCCGGTTGGGCTGCTTGGTATGCCTGTGCCGCTTTTAGTGTTTAGTCCTCGCTACTCGGTCGCCGCGTGAACGTTGCTTTTCGTCTTCTTTACGACGTCGCCTGTTTCCTCCTCTCCTTCTCCTCCTCCACCATAGTTCTCGTCCTCCTTCCATCGCATTCGTCTGCACCGCCTTCTTCTCCTCGTCATTCCCTCGTTTCCATCCGTTTTCTTTTCGTTTCCTCTCCTCCTCCTCCTCTCTCTCTCTCTCTCTCTCTTTTCCTTTTTTTCTTTTTTCCTTTCCATCGCACACGGTTCTTCCGCACACACGAATTTTGACGGCTCCTTTGCGCGGTCCACGTGCGTGTACCCCGCGTCGTCGTTTCTTTCGAACTTGTGCTCTTTCACCCTGTGCGTGCGTGAATTTGGTGACGCCATTGAATATCGCGGCTTTCGTCTCGTCTCGTTTCGAGGTTATAAACGAACGAACGAACGAACGAGCGAATTCGAGTGAGTTGGTGAATTTTTGTTTTTGGTGGAAAATAATCCGTACGCGATTAACGATTAATTCGCGTGATCGTTGATGCGTCAGTTGGAGGATCGACGTACTTCCTACTTGCCTACAGTGAATCGTCGTTGAATTCTCTCCTCTCTTCTCTCTCTCTTCTCCTTCTCTCTCTCTCTCTCTATCCCCCCGCGAGTGGTGTTCGTGTTTAACGTGTGCTCTTCTATCTGCGACGTTATTATTTTTTCTCTCTTTCTCTCTCTCTCGCGTCGCGAAAAGTGTTGCTCATCGTGGCGTATCGAGAAAAGACGTCCTTGTCGCGAAGAGACGCTTCGTGTGTATCGCGCTTCCATGAATTCCAAGCTGGCCGTTGGACGCTTGAAATTGGGGACCAAGGACTTTTCTTAAAGTAAGCAAATCTTTGCAAACCGAATAATCCTGTTTACACGAAAAACAGGGGTACTACACCGTTGTACTACACTTTTACTTGGCCGTCACGCGAGACTGCAAACGATAGAATATATTATTAGCGGTGTGTTTGTGTGTGTGATGTGTGTGTGTGTGTGAGATGTGTGTGTGTGTGCGTGTGCGCCGCCAGCCAAACATTGTTGCCTTTGCCTCGAGTGTATGGAATCACATGCGTCATACGTGATCTAAAATTGTTCGCCCGCCGAGGGTAATATCGTATAACAAAAGCACATTTCGCGAGATCTTCATAGAATCAACGATCTTTTCCTCTCTCTCTTCTCTCTCTCTCTCTCTCTCCCTTCCTCCCTCCCTCCCCCCTCTCTCCTTCTCTCTTCTCTTTCTCTTTCGACACGATCGTTATTATAAACGTACGCGTCCCGCGAGTGAGAAACATCTTTTTCGCGAACGATGGCGGCGAATTCGTTTGCCGGGCGAGAAATTTCGCGGCATGACGTAATGAGAATCGGAGTTCAACAACGGTGTTTCAAGTTCAGTGCACCAAAGGAAGCCAGCAGACCGATTGACGTAACGATGATCGTGATTTCAGGACGATGGCATAATGGATCATGACACAGACGGAGACGGAGCGATCAACTTGTCAACGTCACAGCGACCCTCCGCCGCCACCACCCCTAACGGCGACACCCCCTCGTACGGCCAAGATCAACAAGACAACGACCAGGTAAGGAATTAATCTCTGGAAATTTGCTTTCGATAAGATAACCGTGTGGATCCTCCGTGTGGAATCCATTGTAGAAAGCTTTAAGCGTTTCTACAATGGTTTCTACGGGAATTTCATTCAAAAAATAGGATATCGATCGTATTTTCTCTTCGTTTCGATTCTCGTTTCAAAGATACTTCAAGATCGATGCGACAAAATTATTACTAATAATTTTTTCCTTTTTCTTTTTTTTTTTCCCTCCCCCCCTCAATCGAATTTACGCGGAACGCGGAGATAGAGTTATTAATAACCGACGACTTCACTCCATAAACAGTACTAATTTTAGAAGCAAACATCTGCTTACGTACGATAAAGAGGAACACGGTCGCCAAGACGTCCGGTTAGACTCATTGATTTCTCGGAATAGAAGAATCTCGGAGCGATAAGAGGCTACGATCTATCCCTCTCAGTCCGTATCTCAGTCCTGTGGGTCTCGTAGGGAATCGAAAATGAAATTGAACCGTTTCAAACGCCGCATCTCGATACACAGAAAGCTGGTGGGAAACGAGTAAACCGATAACGATCCTCCTCGTCCGTTTCTCGAGGAGGGTTTCGATTTTAAAGCGAAACTTTTTCTTCCTTCTCTCCCTCTCTCTCTCTCTCTCTCCTCTCTTCTTCTCGTCGTTAGTTACGTTA